AGCTTCTTGTGTTATTAGCAATACAATGCATCAATACAAAGATCTTCTTCCACATCACGAGTCTTAATTGCTGGGAGAGAAACATCCAATTGCAATCTATGCACCATTAGTCTCTCTTCTTTTTGCTTCCCAAACCCAATCCTCCAAAACTTTTCATGTGCCTTTGAATGATCATCCATCTCTAATTTTGACCATGGATAGACAGTAGCATCGCCGTGCAACTAATGGTGGGATTTATTTTTTGCATTTCGGCAAGCCCAAGCTCATAAATTTGCATCGTATTCGTTCGTTGATGGGCATATCTGCCATGTTGGTCCCACTGTATTGCGACCAAAGCTTGAACCAAAGTGCAATTTGCTGTCATTGACAATTCGAAGGCCCAGATGATCAAACCAAGAGCTCGGATCAAACTGTTTTCTCTGCGCAGCCTTAGCACTTCCCGATCTCGGAGATGAAATAATACACCTGCAAGAAGTTGCTCTCTTCGCCAGTAGCTGCAACGTCCAGGGATTCGTCGTCCACCATGATGGTCCATGGGAGCTCCAAACCCAAGTTCTCCAACTTCTTTTTGTAATCCCAAGAACCAGATTCCTTTGTCATGTGAGACATAGAAAAGACATTGTAGCTACAGCTTAAGCAGCAACTTTCGATGATCTGTTGCATACTCCCTACCGGAATTAAAAAGATCGCATGTAACCCCTGCGCTTCCCTAACCAGTGTCTCATCTAAATATGTAACAGACTTTAGTATATTCTTAATATTCTCTATTTAGCTTAAATGGTGGCAGCGGCAAGGCAAGGACAAATTAATTGCTCCTTCCTTATACACCGGAGTTTTGATAAGCCAGACAATACACCAAGAAGCAGGCATTTACTTCTACCTAGTGATCTAGACGCTAGTAAGGAAAAATGTCACAGGAGTGACAGACTTGGATAAGATCAAATCTGTTTCGCCAGGATCAGAGCGTCTTTCTAGAATTTCTGGATCAGGGACGACACCGACTTAGATTGCCGGTGCGAATGGTCAGAAATCGGTGACTTTCAAGGAAATCCAAGTCAAGTTCTCCGAGAAACACTGCCAGACACAGGGAATTAAGCTCTCCATGAAAGCCCGAGAAATCCTAGTCCGAGATTTACCGCTAATTTGGACGAGTCCCCGAGCCGCCCGATCAGACAGGAAAGTGACAACGCAGTTATCTCCAAAACCACACGAGCGAGGGAAATTTCCAAAGGAAAATGCGACAGAGCAACAGCTGAGAGGAAATCAAAACCAAAGTCTTCAAAAGCAAAGCCATGACGGAGATGTCACCATGAACTTGGACGAAGTCTGCCTTGAACCACAAAAAGGACACTGTCACCACGTTAAACATCAATTAGTTGCTGGATCGACCCCAACGAAAAGCGAACCGGTGAGCGATCTCCTTCTCTCGCCAGTCTTGTATCTTGCTCTTGTCGTTTGCCACGGCGACAGCGTCCTGGATCCAAGAACTCGATCGGCACTCCACTGTCTTCGAGAAACTGGAAGACGAAGATAGTCAAGATCAAAGCAGCCAAGACAATGCCAACGATGCGATCCACTCGCGTGCCGCCAACAGGTGACTCATCTTCGACTTCGCCAACGAGATTTCATCCGCGCAGCCAATGATCCCAAAGCTCATCAGCTGTGGTGGCAGGAGACGAGAAGAAGATATGCAGCGATTGGTCCACCGGAGAGTCCGATACATTGCTTCCTCGATGCGAGGACCTGTTGTAGTTGTATCGTCTATGTCGGCTCCTATGTAGAAATTTCCAGTCTTGAGAATGACATAAATCCCTTGTGATTGAATCAAGGGATAAAAATCTATTCGGCATAGTACAAGGAGGTCTCGATCTACATCTCAGGCAAGAACGAAAAAAGAACTTCCATATCAACAGCAAAGATTACTCTCTGTGATTTTTGGCTCTTTCTTTTGGGTTTTTTTTTCTTTCTACTTTCAGGATGTTTTTTTTGCTAGGGTACAGTCCTTGAATTCCATCAAAAACTCTAGGAAGCCTCGCTACGTCATTTTTTTTTCTTGGAAGAAAAACTAAGCGAGGATAGATGGTTTCCATAGATTAAATTGTGGGTGTATTTATTCTGATCCATTTCTCTTACAGAATTCATATTTGGGAATTATACAGATTCACTCCCATTTTCAAAAGCAATTGAAGTTTGAAAATGTTAAGAAAGATTGTTAAGAGGTTTAAAAAATATTCCTATTTATTAATCTAATTAATCAAATAAAATTTTATAATTATAAACATGTTTATAATGTATAAATATAAGATTAATCTTATTGCATATCAACCATTAGATGGTAGAATAAAAAAGAATATACTAGAAAATGTTTAAGAAAGTTTATAAATTATAAACATGTTTATAAATTATAAATACAAAATTAATCTAAATGAATAACAATCGTTAAATGGTAGAATATCCTAGAATATCTAAGCATATTCTAAGTATATCCACTACTATCAGGTTTGCTTAAGCAAACCAAAAAAGTTAATGACAATAGAGTATTTTATTTAGCAAGTAATTATTTGATATTATAGAAATGTTGTATAGCAAGTGATTGATTCATAAATAACCATACTCCCTTAATTATTATCAATATGACATTCTTTGTTTGATTCTTCTAAGATCTTTATTAAACAGCTGTATGGCTTTATTTTTGTCTCCTAGGAAAAAAAACTGTATCAAAGCCTTAGAACCCTTACATAACAGGGTTAACATTCTGTTTCTCATTCTACTTTTGGGAAATATAAGCTGAACTTAATTTCCATATAAGATGAAATGCAATTGAAAAAATTACTAGGGTAATTAACATTTAATTATCAATTATAACATTATAATTAATTTATAATTATAGAGTATAACTAGGACATGATCTTATATTTATTTGAGTAGAACATATATTAGACATTTATTGTCCCAATATGAGGTGTATATATATATATATATATCTATTGGGTATATACGATATTACCCATATATATGTACGATACCCATCCTTTAGTATATAGGCTGCCTGGATGTATTCTATCTCCCGTATCCAGTATACTATACTATACTCCTTTTCCTACTCCTGCCTATATACAGTGGAAATGGAATACATCTAGTGGAAACGCTTTTGAACTGCCGATGTGGTGGCTGCTACACCTGGATGTCCAGCAAGAATTCCCTCATGACATTCCTGAAACACCTGCTTGCGGAAGTTCCCTTTGCTGCTCAGTAATATCCGGTGTCCCCTCCAAATGTGAGAGAAGTTCGTAGACATCCTGAAGTTGTCCAGTAACGGCTTCAGAGCCTCGTCTTCCTCATGTTTACCATATAGGAAGACGATATTGGGCGTAAATAAATACGATATATTGGGTATACCGGGTATTGGGTAATATCGGTAATATATTGTATATGATAGTACCCGATATTTATCGTATATATTGGGTAAATAAATTTATATATGGTAAATAAGAAAAGAGCATTAGAACGCATAAAGTGTGAAACTTTTCACATATTTGAATTTTTGTATAATTAATTTAAAATTAAGAAGCAAACTAAATCTGGATTAAAAATTTCATAGAAATGTCAAGTATAATATAACATCTTTTATATTATGCACTGTTCAGAATAACATGATTAAAATTTAACAACTTAAAAATATAACTCAACAAACATTGTGAAAATTATCATTGTAAATATTAAGATGGCATCACAAATTGTAAATATTGAAATTTATCTGGATAAATATATTTATTATTAAAATAATCATATAAAATGGAATTTAAATTTCAGCTATGTTTACAATTTGGTAAAGATAAAAACAGCAAACCCAAATTCGTCCCCATTATTACTATTTTTTATTATACTGGGGATATAGGGATTTTTCAAATTCAAAATGCATGATCATCTTACATCTGTAATTTGTCTTCTTGTCCATCTTTCAAACTTTCAAAAACTGGTACAATCTAAATGTAAATATTATATCTTAAATGTATTCTCTCACAAATATTGAATTATATCATTTACATCTTATCTTATTGGTACTACATTTTTCAATAATCTAAAAACAGTTAACAATATTTGCTATCCAACAAGTTATTTCTACTATAGGTCTTTTATTTGACAATACTGAGTGAGAAAAATGCCTAAAAGATGCTGAGCTTACGTTTCTTTCAAAATGGCAGATATTTTATGGCCTGTGCCTGCAAAAAATGAAGCAAGTAAGCTTTCTTTGTGTTTGATTCACGTCTTTACCAGGTCCTAATTGCAGAAATCCCGTAAAAATGCCTTGCAAAGATGCCATCCGGTGTGCTCTTGTGCACTGACGTCGCTGCTCACGGATATACCTGGTGTCGACTGGATTGTTCAGGTAAAGTTTGCTTCCGCTTCACGGCACAGTATGATCCTCCTCAAGATCCAAACACGTTTGTTCGCAGAGTCAGGCATACTGCAAGAACATGACGCATTGGACATTAGGTTGTTTTCCTCATGGAGAAAAGACTTAAAAGCATTTGTATCATATTTTCGAGCATACAAGAGCAGCACCACTGTAACTACATTTTCCGGTTTACTTCTTTGTCCTCTACTTGGAAGAAACTGCAGGTTGGCAAGATTGCTAGGGATTTGGCCTCTTGCAGCTACTTTCGATGCCTCCCGAGAGAGATTCCAAGTCTCAAAAGCCAAAGAAAATCGCAGGCGTTGAAGGTCCCCAGCAAAAAAAAGAAGCTTGAGAGCCATGCAGTGGAAGAAGCAGCAACAAAAGTAGAAGCTCTAGTTACCACTGAGTAAATGTTGTGAGTGGCTCCCAGTCCATAAAAGAGCTGTGGTGCACTTAGTCAGCCATTAGCACGCGAGGAAACTCGAGGAAACTCTCACCTCCTGCTATTTTCGCTTGACTCATTTGCTATTTCTATTTGTTAGATGGAAGCCATTCCATGACAGACAAAAAAAATAAGCACAAAGATTTAGCGACAAAAAAACTTTAACGTTTACTTTAACTTACTCACTTACCTAAAGAGTTTATTTTTTGAATATCTTCCAAAGGTAAGAATAACAGACTTGTAGAAGAGGCTCCAGAACTCGAGAGGATGGCTACCGAAGGGAGAAAATTCGAGGGCGTTGAAAAACCTGACACAAGAAACAAAGAGCTCAATGCTTAGTAAGCTTGAAATTGACACACCTTTACTCAGTCAGAGCGTCAGCCTTAAAGGCTGCTTGGAGAGAAGCTTGCGCTACTGGATAGACGAACACCAGAATGTTCTCCATTTTGGTCCGGAACTCGTCGAGCATCAGCTCCAGCACTGTGTCCACGAACACCTCCTCTGACTCCACCACTTGATGCACACCGGCATGCAAACGCCGCGGGATCGATCTGGCATACTCGAGCCCCACAGTGAGCCCTGCATCGTTTAACAATGCCACGACCCTGGAAGAAATAAAAGTCACATGTAAGTACTAGTTGACAGAAGAAAGAAAGAAAAAGAAAAAGTTAACCCTGGAATGTTGAAAAACGCATTCCAATTTGTTTTTCCATCGGCTGCGAGTGGGATCTCCACATCTGCTTCTCTCGTAAGCCTCACGCATTTCTCCCGAGCGGCCTCACAGAGCTTTCGCAGAAGCACTCGCTCGACCATGCGCAATCCAGATAACCTCTTGCCCTGGGCTGAAAGCTGACGACCCTGGGCTGAAAGCTCCTCCTTCAGCTTCGAAGTTTCATCCTTCAGCTTCGAAGTTTCATCCTTCAGCTTTGAAGTTTCCTCCTTCCGCTTCGATGTTTCCTCCTTCAGCTTCTCCTCGAGCTCTGCCACTCTCTCCGTGAGTTTGGTATTCTCCTCCTTAAGGCTCTCCCTTGAGTCCTTCTGCAGCTCCTGGATTTTCTCAGCTTGCTCTTTGTTGACCTTCATAAGCTTGTTCTCGATCTCTTCTTTCTGTTTGGTGACTTGCAGGATCAACTTGGAGTTCAGAGCTTTGAGTCTCGTGTTTTCGCCCTCCAGCCCCTGGTGTGGCTTGGGAACAACCCTGATGTAGTTCTGTCTGGCCCATGCCTCAGGCTTCAGCCTCGAGTTCTTGTAGCTAGGATCACTGATCTTGGCCTCCAGATCTTCCTTCCGCAGGCTGAAACGTTTCGCTGCCGCATCCACCGCAAAACCAAAAGCGCCATCCAGAGATTTCTGCCAGTCACCCGCTGGAAGAGGCCATGCAGACAGAGTGCACTCCACGTAAAAAATCGGGACGCACGCTCCAGGCGCAATGTAGTTCTCTGGAAAGAAAAAAAACACGAGAATTCCAGGACAAAGAGCTACCACAAAGCTTCTACGAGGGCAGAGGCATGAATACCCTATTCTGCTTCGCATCCAATCTCTCAGCTTCGAGGGGGAATTCCCTCTTTGCTGTGGCGAGAGATATCTTGGCAAGGGGGGCGCCAATCGATCGGGAGTGACTTACCGCTGCCGCTGCTGCTCATCGCTCCACTCGCCGCCAACCCCTTCGCCAAGAACCCTAAACGAATGGTGGGCGGCAGGTTAATTTTAATACATTTACCAAAGTCACTTTTGTTAAAACTGAATTAATATAAATTATTATGAAAAGCTATGAATTATGCTCTATGTTATTGAAACTGCGAAGAGACTTTGTTGAGAAGAGCAACTCTTTCAAATGCGAGAAAGGTTTTAAATTGATAGAAATATGAAAACTTTGTGATATATATACCTTCTGTAGCAAGCCATCTTCTCTCCAACTTTACAAAGGTCGTCAAAAGTGCTCATGAACTGCGTTGATAAATTCTTTTGCAGGCTTCCTGTCCCCAAAATAAAAAGCTCACAAAACAATTTATAAATTATGTAGTCTCTAACCTGCAACTATAGGTGAGAAATTGCCAATCAATGTCCTTATTCACAACCACCTATAAGAAAATATATAGTTCCTATGTGCATAGGGAAACAAGAAATCACGAACCCAAGGCTTGAGATTCACCAAAACATGTGAAATGGTTGCATTCTTCATCAACTACAATGAAAAGAACGTTCATAGAGAAGTGAAAAAGGAGAGTTCCAAGTTGAGTACCTTCTCTAGGTTCTCAACAATAATATTAGCTATACTTGAAGAGTTTTTTGATGTTTCTAAATTTTTTCATGGATTGTCTTCATTATAAATTGTGGAGCATAGGATTACATTAGAGCTAGGGACATAACCAATTTATTGGTATCCATTTTGATTAAGTTATGCAAAGGAGCAAGAAGTTCAATGACAAGTTAATAAGTTCTTTGAGTTTGGATTTATTCAAATAAGTAAGTCTTCATTTGGTGCTCTAATCGTGTTTGTGAAGAAGAAAAATGATTTAATATGGATGTGTATTAATTATCGTGTCTTGAACAAGAAGATAATAAAGGATAATATGTTGATGCCACATGTGAATGATATCTTAAACAAATTTGGTGAAGCACTAGTGTTTACCAAGATTGATTTGAGGAGTGGATATCATCAAATTGCAATGGATGATACATTTATTTTTAAGATAGCATTTAATATAAGCTTTGGGCATTTTGAGTTTACAATTCTGTTGTTTGGTTTTATAAATGCACTAACCACATTTACTTAGTTGATGATGAAGGTATTTAAGCATTATCTTTATGAGTTTGTGGAGATTTTCTTGGACAATATTCATGTTTTCAACAAGAATATAGAGGAGTATAAGGTGCATTTGTGTAAGGTTTTTTTGTTATTACGTGACAGTAAATTTTATGTAAAAAAGAGAAAATATGAATTTATAAAGTCAGAGGTGGAATATCTAAGCTATATTGCAAATCCAAGGAAGGTGGTTGTGGTGGAGAACTAACTTACATCGACTTCAATAACTCAGTTATACAACTTCTATAGTATGGTTATTTATTACTAATATTTCTAGTATAAGTTTGTGGAAGTGGCTATTCCTTTGACACGATTGTTGTGCAAAAACATGCCATTTGAGCGGAAGAAGCCACATGAGGAGAGTTTTATGGCATTGAAACGATTGTTAAGCAAGGCTTTAATGCTTCATATTGTTAATCTATCAAAACCTTATAAGGTAATATATGATGCAAATGGTTATGCATTGGGAGAAGTTTTTATGCAAGAGGGACAACTTATTACATATAAGAGTTGAACTTTGAATATAGTAAAGCAACGTTATTTTACATATGAGCAAGAGTTACTCTTCATTGTTCATGCTTTATGGCACTATCTTTATAGTGCAATATTTGTAGTGTTGATAGATCACAAACCTTTTATATATCTTTTCATATAAAAGGAGTTAAACACTAGACAAACTTGTTGAATGGTTAAACTCATGGAGTTTATGAAGTTTTTTATTGAGCATCCTTCGGGAAAATTAAATATAGAGTGCGCTCAGGCTCAGGATGCTAAGATGGTCTCTTTGCGAACTCAGATGGAAGCACTTTTCTTATTGGTGGCTGCAATTTTTTATTACAATGCCCGTGTATAGTTGCCATAGGTGGATGTGTTAGTTACTCAAGCTTTATTCCACTATCATGATTGTCCAGAGGTTGGTCATTTTGGGGGAAAGAAAATGTATGAGTTGATTAAGCACAATTTTTATTGAACAAATACAAAGACTGATATCTTCGAGTATTGTAAATCATGTGAGCTCTATCAATGAGTAAATGTGTTACGGGAGAAGCCAAGGGGATTTTTGCAACCTTTACCTATTCCTCAAAGCCATTGGTGTAATATTTCTATGGACTTTATCACTTTTTTGCTATGAACACAAAGGCAAAATGAGTAAGTATGAGTCATTTGATGAAGTATGTGCAACTGTTGGCTCTTCAGAAAACTATCACTGCCTCAGATTTAGCTACAGTCTACTTGGAGAAGGTTTTTCTTGATTTTAGTTTACCGAAGGACATCATTAGTGATTGAGATTCAAAGTTCACTAATGGATTTTGGAAGAGCTTTGAAAAGGTCATATAAATGATTTTGAAACTCTTCAGTGGAGATCATTCTCAAACGGATGGGCAAACTAAACGTGTGAATCAGGTGGTGAAGGATATACTACATTGTAAAAGCATTTACCAAAGATGTTTAACTATAGCATTGGTCAAAGGTAAGGATAATGGGATCTATATTTTTTGTTAGTGCAATTTGCATACAACAATAACTAACACAATGGAATTAAACTAAGTTTTTACTTTGCCATGTTTGGAAGACATCCCTAAACAACGGTGGAGTTAGGATTGCATTTGAGTAAAGATGTTCAAATTAAGTTTGACTCAGAGGCAGCTGATTTAATCATATAAATTAATAAAATTTTAATGGTGTGCAAACAGAATTTGCAAACAGCTCAATATAGAGTGAAGAAGTTTTTTAATAAGCATTTCCAATTCCAGGAATATAAGGTGGGTGATCTCATCTTTGTGTAAATCATTTTTCGTCAACTAATCACCCCTTTAATCTATTGGCTTAGGGTAGGTTTTGACATTGTTGTTTAATAATCCTTCCTTTGTCAGGGAATGATTGTCCGTGATCATATTTAAACCACCCTTTGGTCACTATGGTTCTTTTAGGGTCTATCAAACCTTGGTTCTCCCTCTATTAAATATTCCTTTAGAATATTCTTGTCCCACTTGTCAGTTACAAGAATCGAATTGGGCTTCAATACCAAGGAAACAATAAATAATCTCCTGCAATTTGTTGGTAGTGCAATGTTAGTGTTTTAACTTAGCATCATTTAATGTGCTTATGCTATCCATTGTTTAAGAATTAAAAAAAAGTATACTTTCAATTATAAATTTAATTATTAGAAATTGTGACTTTAAAATGTTGATTGTGGTTATGATAATTAAAGAGATGGTTAAAAATGCACTTCAATTTTTATATTCACAATCACATTGCACCTTAATTATAAAGTTTAAAGCTTATACTTTAAATTTATTTGGCTTTTTTTAGAAAATATGTTTCTTGAAGATGCTTATAGCATAATAAAAATATTAAGATTTTTACTAATGCATATCTAAAAGATCTTTACATAGCTGAAATTTAGAATTCCATTTTATATGATTACTTTAATAAAAAATCTATTTATCCAGATAAATTTAAAGTGTAATCCTTAAATTTTGTAATTAAGATGCAATGTGATTGTGGATATATAATTTAAAATGTATTTGTAAGTCTAATATAGGTGTTTGTCTTATTAAACTACATATTCTACCTACAAAATTTTGAGTGTATATTGAAAATCTACTATATAAGTTATGAGTTTTTCTGTTTATTATCATTTTTAATTTTTATGTTTAAAAATTTTATTTTTGAAATTATAAATGAATTTATTTACTAAAAGGGGTATATTTTCTTGATTTGTTTTTCTCAAATTAATGGCATAAAATTGTCAGGGATTATGGTGACAGGGCATAGTCCCACCATGGCAAGCTACTCATCTCACAAATCCTCTGCCATCATGGATGTTAGGATCCTATTCCTTACACCTTTTATTTTTGAAATTACAAATGAATTTATTTACCAAAAGGGGTATATTTTCTTGATTTTTTTGTCTTAAATAAATGGCATAAACTAATCAGGGATTGTTAGGATCCTATCCCTTACACCCTAAGCCAACTGATCATTTGTTTGTATGGCCCTTTCTTATCCTATTATCTTGACATTTTATTAAATTTTCTTTTTATGTATAGATTTCTTTTATTTCACAATCTATCACACTGTCATGGCTTATGAGCATTTTCATGGTTGGGATTGAGTTTTTTTATATCAACAAATTATTGAAGGACAAAAAATTAATTAAAGAAACACTCTTGCCATTTCTAACACAAACTACTGGGTATATTATCTTTCATCTAATAATTTTTAAAAAGTGTAGTTCCAGTTCTTTATATTAAAACTTCTTATTCAAAATATTCAACTCTATCAGCACCTCAAAATAAATATATAAACAAAAACTATACTTTTAAGCTTTTGAACATTATGAGCAATTATCATTCATCAATTGTCTCCCATAGTCTCAATAAAACTGATATAACATAAATGACCAACGTAGATTTGGGTAGGTTTTCTTTAGTTTATTTGATTTAGGAACTAAGAGGGAGAATAAATTGGAGAATTTATTAAAAAAACTTTCTCAAGTAAACTCTTCAAAACTTTGATCTTGAGAAGCTCCTTGTGAACTCGTGGAATCTGGCTCTTGGTTGTGGGATCCCAGGTGGTAGACACTCTTAGAGCTATGGTGGGTGCTTTGCCTTCCAAAATTCGCAACACCTACATGCAACAATGTCAACCTTGTACGTTCATGATTTTTCTTCATAAGGATCAACCTGACTCATTCTTGGCCTCTGCGAGGGTTCTCTTCTCAGGCAAAATGCCGCTGCGTGGACCATTCCTTGGATCTTGTAAAGCTGTTACTCCTGGAATAAATCTTTAACCAGTCGTGGATCTAGTAAAGAATCGGCATCTCTTACATCGAGTTTTGGACGAGCCTGTAATTAATACTAAATAGAAATAAATATAAAAATATGAACCTTACGCATTCTGTGAGACATTGTTCTGCATGAGGCAGAGATATATCAAGTGATCTCCACACCAAATGAATACACGTTAGCTTTCTCTGTAACCTGTCCACTTGAAGCATACTCTGGAGCCAAATACCTTCAATTCTAAACATTAAATCTCATATTAAAATAACATATGAGTTTTGGTTTCTTACCCCAAGTGTGCCAATTACCTTTGTCTCAACTGTGGGCTGGCTGCTTGTATGCCATCTAGCCAATCCAAAATCTCCAACCTGTTACCATATAAGTAATCTTATAGTAACAATGGTAAATATCTTACCATTGGAGCATAGTCATGTGTGAGAAGAATGTTGTGTGGCCTGAGATCTCTGTGAATTATATAGTTCCAATGCGGCATTCCTCATGAAGATATCGCATCGCTCTGGCAGCCCCCAAAGCGATTCCCTCTCTTGCACACCATGTGTATTTCAGTGTTTAGAAAAAGAAAAGAAAAGCCAAATAAGTGATAGCTGAGTGACTTGTTGCACACAAACTCGTAAACAAGCATTCTCTTTCCATCCTCGACGTAAATTCCTAGCAAATTTACCAGGTTTCGGTGCTGTGCTCCACTCAGAACCTCTGTGCGCCAATGGTTTCAGGAGTGCATTATCGGGTAAGGCGCTCGCTTCAGGAGTGCATTATCAGGTAAAGTTCGCTTACGCTTCACAGCCCAGTATGGTCCTCCTCAAGATCCAAACACGTTTATTTGCAGAGTCAGGCGTACTGCAACAACGGGACGCGTTGGACATTCGGTTGTTTTCCTTATGGAGAAAAGATTTGTATCATATTTTCGAGAATACAAGAGGAGCACCACTGTAACTACATTTTCCGGTCAGCGATCCTTACTTCTTTATTGTATTTAGGTGGAAGAAACTGAAGGTTGGCAAGATTGCTATGGGATTTGGCCTCTTACAGGTACCTTCAACACCTCCCGAGAGAGATTCCAAGTCTGAAAAGCCAAAGAAAATCGCAGGCGTCAAAGGTCCCTAGCAAAAAAGAGAAGCTTGAGAGCCATGGAGTGGAAGAAGCAGCAACAAAAGCAGAAGCTCTAGGTAACAGTTACCACTGCGTAGATGCTGCGAGTGACTCCCAGTCCCTAAAACAGCTGTGGTGCACTTAGTTAGCCATTAGCACACGAGGTCCTTCACTTGACTCATTCATTATTTCTATTTGCTAGATGGAAACCACTCAAAGAAAATGAGCAAGAAGATTTAACGACAAAAGAGCTTTTACATTTACTTCAGCTGCTTAACTAAATAGCTTACTTTTTGAATATCTTCTGATGGTAAGAACAGCAGACTTATACAAGAGGCTCTAGAACTTAGAGAGGATGGCTACCAAAGGGAGAAAATTCGAGGGCGTTGAAAAACCTGGCACAAGAAACAAAGAGCTCAGTGCTTAGTAAGCTTGAAATTGACACACCTTCACTCAGTCGGAGAGTCAGCCTCAAAGGCCGCTTGGAGAGAAGCTTGCGCTGCTGGATAGACGAACACCAGAATGTTCTCCATTTTGGTCTGGAACTCGTCGAGCATCAGCTCCAGCACTGTGTCCACGAACACCTCCTCCGACTCCACCACTTGATACGTACCGGCATGCAAACGCCACGGGATCGATCTGGCATACTCGAGCCCCACGGTGAGCCCTGCATCGTTTAACAATACCACGACTCTGAAAGAAATAAAAGTCACATGTAAGTACTAGTTGACAGAAGAAAGAAAGAAAAAGAAAAAGAAAAAGAAAAAGTAAAACTTACCCTGGAATGTTGAAAAACGCATTCCAATTTGTTTTTCCATCGGCTGCGAGTGGGATTTCCACATCTGCTTCTCTCGCAAGCCTCACGCATTTCTCCCGAGCGGCCTCACAGAGCTTTCGCAGAAGCACTCGCTCGAACATGCGCAATGCAGATAACCTCTGCCGCAATGCTGAGAGTTCACGGCCCTGGGCTGAAAGCTGACGACTCTGGTCTGTAAGTTCCTCCTTCAGCTTCGAAGTTTCTTCCTTCAGCTTCGAAGTTCTCTCCTTCAGCTTCGAAGTTTCCTCCTCGAGCTTTGCCACTCTCTCCGTGAGTTTGGTAATCTCCTCCTTAAGGCTGACGATCTCCCTTGAGTCCTTCTGCAGCTCCTGGATTTTCTCAGCTTGCTCTTTGTTGACCTTCATAAGCTTGTCATTCTGTGCCTTTGTGTTCTTGATCTCTTCTTTCTGGTTGGTGACTTGCAGGATCAACGTGGAGTTCAGAGCTTTGAGTCTCGTGTTTGTGCCCTCCAGTCCCTGGTCTGCCTTGGGAACAACCCTGATGTAGTTCTGTCTGGCCCATGCCTCAGGCGTCAGCCTCGAGTTCTTGTAGCTCGGATCACTGATTTTGGCCTCCAGATCTTCCTTCCGCAGGCTGAAACGTTTCGCTGCCGCATCCACCGCAAAACCAAAATCGCCATCCAGAGATTTCTTCCAGTCACCCGCTGGAAGAGGCCATGCAGACAGTGCACTCCACGTAAAAAATCGGGACGCACGGACGATTCTCTCCAGGCGCAATGTAGTTCCCTGGAAGAAAAAAAAAACGAGGATTCCAGGACAAAGAGCTACCACAAAGCTTCTACGAGGGCAGAGGCATGAATACCATATTCTGCTTGGCATCCAATCTCTCAGCTTCGAGGGGGAATTCCCTCTTTGCTCTGGCGAGAGATATCTTGGCAAGGGGGGCGACTTGGGATCGGGAGTGACCTGCTGCTCATCGCTCCACTCGCCGCCAAGCACTTCGCCAATAACCCTAAACGAATGCTGGGTCATAGGATTAATTTTCATCTAACGGCTGTTGTCAATTTAGATTAATTTTAATACATTTACCAAAATCACTTTTGTTTTAATTATTACTAAAAGTTATTTATTGAAACCGCAAAGAAACTTTGTCAAGAAGAGCAACTCTTTTAACTGCGAGAAAGGTTTTAAATTGATAGAAATATGAAAACTTTGTGATATACATACCATCACCGTAGCAAGCCATCTTCTCCGCAACTTTACAAGGGTCATCAAAAGTGCTCATGAACTGCGTTGATAAATTCTTTTGCAGGCTTCCTGTCCCCAAAATAAAAAGCTCACAAAACAATTTACAAATTATGTAGTCTCTAACCTGCAACCATAGGTGAGAATTTGCCGATCAATGTCCTTATTCACGACCACCTATAAGAAAATATATAGTTCTTCTGTGCATAGAGAAACGAGAAATCACGAACCTGAGGCTTGAGATTCACCAAAACAAGTGAAATGGTTGCATTCTTCGTCGACTACAATGGAAAGAACGTTCATAGAGAAGTGAAAAAAGAGAGTTCCAAGTTGAGTACCTTCTCGTCTCCTACAATATCTACCAGTCCGTCTACAAACTTGTGCTCCTAGATAAACAGCACAAGGACACGCATTTGAGACAAATATTACTTGAGAGCGCTACTCACAGAAGATGCGTGGATCCCAAACAAGCCGGAGTCATTGTACACAGAAGTAAAAGCAGTAAAATTTTCCACCTTGGGATGGAAAACGAGAATGCGAACTAAGTAAGAACACTAAAACCAAACCACGATTCATAGATACACAATCTGGACTGGATGACCTTGCCCAGGCCCCCAGTTGAAAACGAACCGACTAAAACGGAAAAAAAAAAAAAAAAGTTAACATTTTCTTCCAGCAAACTTGAGAAAGAAGGGGAAGCTTTACCTGTAACACAGTTGCTGCAACAGCATTGCGTTCGCTTCTCCAGCCATCAGGGATTTCAAAAGCGATGGAAGCCCATGTAGTCTGCTTAAAAATGGAAGAGCTAAATCCATTTAGACTTCCAACAAAGAGAAAACACAAAAATGAAAGAAAGGAAAAACTCTTACATCACTCTCGCCTTGAAGGGGCTACCTCTGGGGGCGCCACCAGAGGCATGTCCTCAAACAACGGTTTCACCAGCGAGAGAAAATAGTCGTGCTTGATGCCAGACCCAGCGAAAACCATCCGTGAAGCTGTTTAGTTTGCCCACAAAATCTCCCTGCTATTAGAAAAAACACAAGAATAACGAAAGCAGGAAGACATGAGAAAGCTAGAAACTCGTGAAAAGCACGAGAGTCAGAGTTTATCCAATGAGGACTCACTTGCCACCAGCACTTTGCCAAGAGGGCCATTGTAACCAGCGGGATGCAAAGCTTCCAGAAGCATTGCTTGAGTTGGCAATATCTTTAATCTCTTCTCTCAAGATGTCAGCATGTGAATCCAATCAACCCTGTAAGAAAAAAAAGAAAAAAAGAGAAAGAGATATTTGTTCTTTGATATCCCACTCATGGAAAGCCGGGTTCCGGATGCTATCAGCAAGAACAATCTCGGGAACAAAGCTCCTTATCAGATCACCCGTATAAGACATTTGCTCTCGTGAAAGCAGATGCAAGAATATTACCGTCGATGGCTTCTGCTTCGTGGACAAGCCTCAAGTGCGTCCTGTTTCGCGTGCTCTTGAAAACCATGTGAATAGTAAACCAAATACATTTATAATATTTACATGTTTCTAGAGTTTTTCATATAAAACGAAATGAATTTCATGCACGGGGATGACAAGCGCGCCACACAGTCATCGTACCAGATCGCGGAGATGGAGGGAGCCGCCACCACCGCTGCCGCCACGGGATGAAAAACTCTCAAAGTATTTCAGAGTTTCCATCTATTTTTTTTATTCTATAATCTAATGGTTAATATGCAATAAGATTAATCTTGATTTATAAATGATAAACATGTTTATAATTATTGATCAATTGAATTATTGGACATTACTATTAAGCAAGCATTATTGCATGCAACACACAGCAAATTATTAAAATTATCAGTGAATATTTTGAGTATATAAAAAATAACTAACTTAACTATTTAACTGCACAACCAACCTTGACTCTGGAAAAAAGATATTAAGAACTCTTTGCCATCGAAACTTAGTAAGTACATCACTTGCGCATCCTGTGAAAAATAAGCTCAAAAGTCATAGTTTGTAGTCCAGAAACAAAAAATACCTCGGGCCAACTACAAAAAGTCTCAGGAGAAACTTGAAGAAGATTGAATGCAGCCTCACCATCGACTCTAGCACAAATTTCCCTGCCTGGTTCTCCAACGTCAAAAAGATAGACGTCTGCGTGGAAAGAGAGCGACGCTTGATCGCAACTACGTGTACAGAAACAACAAAACCAAGCGCCACTTTCATCCGTCACACGCCGACCACAAGCACCGTGTATTTTATGAAGCTGGAGCTCCACTCTTTCGAGCCTTACGACATCATCTTCTCAGGTCAAATAGAGAGCTTAAAAGGAATCTCTCCTACCTGGCCATAGCTAGACCATCGAGAGACAGGAACAATGCTGTGAAGACACGGGGAAGAGATGACTGCAGTGAGATGGGAAACCTTCACGAAAGATGCTCCTTCCGTGCTCTCGGTCCAAGAACATTTCAGCCTGCAACGAATAATCGTTAAGGAGGCGAGAGAGTTTTTCTTTTACCTTTCACCAGTATCTGTATAAGTAGCAAGGCCGGATATAAACACAAGTTGTCCGGAATAAACCTCGCCAAAAGACCTGCCAGCCAAAGTCACTCTCAGAAAAAATCAAAAATAAAAGAAAAACAATTAAACATTTTTACCAGCTCTCCAGCATGAACTGAAGCTCAATCTCGATAATTCCCGTGTCGTCGTTAATAGACAGTATAGATGGTTGCTTGGCAGATGAAATCTGACAACCAACAAACGCTGCTGTACCATAAACTGCAAGGTTGAACATCTTTGGTCTCAAGTCCTTTACCAGAAGCTTCAATCAGTAGGAATGAGAAAATTTGCATTGTACATACACGAGCGGGGAAATGGTTGAGATCAACAGCACCGTGTGGGTTGCGTGGAATTAGCACTTCCGATCCAAGACATGTTTCGTGATCAGACGCTACTGTCACCTTTGACAACGATTCGAAGATTATTCCGAAGTAAACGCAGTTTTACCTCTTGCTCGAGTTGAAGACAGGGCGGCACACAATAGATCCGAGTGCATGTTCCAGACTCCAGGCTTATCTCCATTGTGTCACAGTTTACAAAGGGTCGTTCAAGGGCCAACATGCTTCCGTCACTGCAATCACGTAAAACATGTTTACTACAAAAGCAGAAAGCCTGATACGAAACCTTAGCAAAGTGGCGATAGGAACCTGGTCATTCCACAGGACGAATGGCACCGTGATTCCCTCACTATCAACAAGTAAGATTGTTTTCCATCTTCTGTCGCCGTTCGTCTCAGTCTCCATGGACTTTTCCAGTCTATCGTTACAAAGTGATTAAGCCATACTCGATCGATCACGCGAAACAACACTTACTTGGCATAAATATGGTAATCTCCGGCAGCTCCACGTTGTATAGACGGGAAAGTGTCAGAGAGAAACTGCTCGCCGAGCAGCATTGCATCGTGTTCTTGGTCCTGAGTAGAAAACAGTAGCTAACTCACAAAAAATCAAACATTCACTGCACCTCGTCAAGTAGGACTACTAGGTGCTCTGTGGGTAAAAGACGCGGAGCACACGATCCATCTCCAACTCTCAGCCTACAACCTGTCATGCGTAGATCTCGACCTCTCTTAATAGTTCCCTCCTCATCATGTACCATGTCAAAAAATCTATGAACAAAAGAAGCCATCAACAAAAAAAGGTAAAGACGAATACCAGAAGTTCTTGGCTTACTTTCGGTGCAGATAGTGGTCGACTGTGTTCCCGCTGGAAAGATCTCCAAGCGTAAGAAGATAGCTATTGCTCCCTGGAAACTTTGTGTGTGATACCATCAATCAACCGAGAATGCAAGCTAAATGAGCTTACCAGGCAAGACGTGGATGTCCAGAACAACGACCTCCATCACGGCATCCAGAGAAACAAACTTCTTCTCCAGAATCGAGTCGACAGTCACAGCATTTGCCAAATGCTGATACCGCGCCCTCCTCGTCCTCTTCATTTGCATCACGGGGTGATTCTCCGCAAGCCTCCCTCTGCCTCTGCCGCGCTCCCTCTCGCCCCAGGCCTATCATCCACAAACAACACCTACATTCCTCAAAAATCCCTCGAACCGACCGAGAAGTCCTCACCTGGAAGAGCTCCGCGAGAAGAATCCCTTCCGTGACCACGCGGGGATGAGCTTGGCAGCACGAAAAGACGCGCGACATCATCCACGCCCATCCGGGCACCGCTGCGCCATCGTCGTGCCGCCGCCGGTACTCCTCGAGCTCCTTCCTCGCCCATTCTATAAACCCTAGAATATCATTTCCCGCCATAACCATTCCAAATTTACACACGGGTAAAGTTATAAGCAGCCAGTGGACGAGAATCCCGATGTTCCCTTGTCTCTTACCTCTTTGTTTACTCTCTTTGCTCGATACTTGTGGAATCCCGGCCTTAGAATCTCTTCCTTCTCCCAAGAAAGGATTCCAGGGTCATCACCCCGAGAGGAGAATTCAAGCAAAGATCTATCACAAGATCAAAGGGAACTAGAAAGAAGAAATGGATCGAAAATCTTTGTCTAGTGTTCCTTTGCCGAGCAACATAGCCATACTTTCGGGCAGCACTGTGCCTGGCCATTTTTCTTCTACTTCTAGTTCTACTGCTACTACTACTACTCTTCCTTCTAATCGAAACATTGTGGTAATTTTTGATGCGTCGAGGGAGATGTCAAGCATCGCTGTGGAGTGGACGTTGGAGAGAATTCTTCAGCCTGGGGATGTCTTGACACATCTTGGGATTTTACCGCAAACAGTCACAGGAATTGTAAAACTCAGTAAGTTTTTTCGCTTCTTTTTTGCCTTTTATTTTAATATTTATTGTTTAGTGCGATACAAGCCCCAGAAGGGGACTGAACAGTCTATCGTTGGCAACCAGGATGAGGAAATTTGTAAGAAACTGAAGCTCTACAGCTTAATTCTCAGTGATATTCAAAAGGCATGCGAGGATCTAAACGTAAGAAATCATTCTAAACTTTTGGTTTTTTTTTATGTATATTCTTTTTAACAGGCCAGTTTAGATCTTCGAATTGTTACTGGGCATCCACTGAGTCTAGTTGCTGTGACCGAAACAAGAAAACTACAGCCTACATGGGTTATTCTAGACAGGTTTTTTTTTCTTCTTCTTCTTCTGTTTTTTAGGTCCTCTTAATTAATTTGCTATGAATCTGGATAGAAATATGAAGAGACATCGCAAGCATATAAACGACCAGCTCTCCTGCAACATGATTCTCATGGATCGGAACAACGAAGGCAAGATTCTCAAGCTTTGCGCCCCGATGGTGTTGGGACCATCTCTCCAGTTCCAAGACATCTCCGACTCCCAAATCCTCGACACAGTTGGAAAGTATCGCTGCTTTTCATCCTCCGGAGGGGATTCGGACAGCGACACGATCCTCACACACAGTAAACACGGTGAATAGCATTTTCGTTATTTACATTATTATATTCAATTTTTCCATGGTTTCATGTTCAAAGCACTCAAAGGAGGAACATCAAATAACAGTGTCACTGTTGATCCTGGCCCGAGTGAGAATGCGGCAGTGGAGTTGGACGCTGTACTGCCGACAGAATTGGATGAAACCAACACTGCAATCAAGCTGGATAAAGAGAAACTTACGACTGATGAAGCGATCACCGAGGACACCATCCTCTTCCCAAAACCCGGGAGCTCGGCACTGCCACTTTGCTCGGTTTGCAAGCACAAGCCCCGCGATTTCAAGAGACAGACGAGAGAGTTTACGTATTCTGAGCTCGAGGAGGCGACAGACAATTTCTCGCATGCCAACTTTCTGGCCGAGGGAGGATTTGGGTTTGTGTACAAGGGCGTTCTCAAAGGTGGCCAACACATTGCCGTGAAGCAACACAAGCTCGCCAGCACGCAAGGAGGGAGGGAGTTTTGTGCAGAGGTCAAGGTTCTGAGCGGAGCACAGCACCGAAACCTGGTAACTTTGCTAGGATTTTGCGTTGAGGATGGCAAGAGAATGCTTGTTTACGAGTTTGTTTGCAACAAGTCACTCGACTATCACTTATTTGGTACTTTCTTTTCTTTTCTTTTTTCTTTTGTCTAAACACTTGGCTTTGACATGTGACAATGGTGGCAGACAAAAACACGGTGTTACCATGGTGTGCAAGACAGGGAATTGCTTTGGGGGCTGCCAGAGCGATGCGATATCTTCACGAGGAATGCCGGGTTGGAACTATAATTCACAGAGATCTCAGGCCACACAACATTCTTCTCACACATGACTATGCTCCAATGGTAACCATTGTTACTATATCGTTTCTAGATTACTTATATGGTACCAGGTTGGAGATTTTGGATTGGCTAGATGGAATACAAGCAGCCAGCCCGCAGTTGAGACGAAGGTAGTTGGCACACTCGGGTAAGAAACCAAAACTCATATGTTATTTTAATATGACATTTAATGTTTAGAATTGAAGGTATTTGGCCCCGGAGTATGCTTCAAGTGGACAAGTTACAGAGAAAGCTGACGTGTATTCGTTTGGTGTGATTTTACTCGAAATGGTCACAGGCCGGAGATCATTAGATATATCTCTGCCTCATGCAGAACAATGTCTCACAGAATGGGTAAGATTCATTTTTTAAAAATTTCTATTTAATATTAATTACAGGCTCGTCCAAAACTCGATGTAAGAGATGCCGATTCTTTACTGGATCCACGACTGGTTAAAGATTTACTCCAGGAGTCACAGCTTTACGAGATCCAAGCAATGGTCCACGCAGCGGCATTTTGCCTAAGAAGAGAACCCTCGCAGAGGCCAAGAATGAGTCAGGTTGATACTTACGAAGAAAAATCATGAACTTACAAGGTTGACATTGTTGCATGTAGGTGTTGCGAATTTTGGAAGGCGAGAGAGGTGAAGCACCCACCATAGCTCTAACAATGTCTACCACCTGGGATCCCACAACCAAGAGCCGGATCCCACGAGTTCCAAGCAATACCACGCTCAAAAGTCCGAGCAAGCAAAGCTTTCTCTCATATAATGAGATGATCACCAGCTAGATGGCGTGAGCTACCATGAAAGTTGACTATAGGTAATATACTCAAGAGAAAAAGAGAAACTATTCTTCGTGATGTTGTTACAAGAAGCTACTATAATCCAAAGTCATACAAAGAGCTTCTCAGGATCAAAGTTTCAAAGAGTGATCTTGGCTGGCGCCATCCATCGCAAAGAACTCGGAGATCACCTCCAGCGGCATGCCTTTGGTCTTGGGAACCTTGAACAGGGTGAAGATCCAGGGCACTAACACCACCACCACAAAGCAGCCAAACAAGCCACCGATTCCCAGCACCCCGAGGAGCTTTGGGCACATGTTGGTGAGGAGGATGTTGCAAGTCCATAAATGTCAGGTTCGTTAAATTCAAAACAAGATTATAGATCCGTTGGAAGGAAGGAAAAATAATTTCTAGCCGATTATCTATAAAATAGAGACCTGGTTAAAATAAAAACACGCCACCACATTCGGATCTCATTCGCCTTTGCTTTGTGCTCCTCTTCTACTTGGCCCATCATCCTCTAGAATGATTATCCATTTGGAGGTAATATTCTTCTCACAAGGTCACTCAGCATTGTTTACACTCAGAAAGACATAAAGGTGGACTTCATGAAGGAATGGAGGAGTATAGAAAATTAACTCTGCAAGAGTGTTAACGAGGATTGCTCTTCTCCATTCCTGGGATCTATTTGCACCATTGGTTAATAATGCCACTTGAGGAAGAGAAAGCTTGAAAAGAACCGAGAAGAATTTTTCATTTTACTCTCTCTTTTATTTAATCAATAAGGCTGATTGATTCTGTGCAGACCTTTCCTCAACCGGTTTAATCACCGTCTGGATACGTTGATTCTTTGATATCTACCGGATTGGAGACAGCAGCCATTTAGACAAGAGGTAGTTTGAGTTTCAAGTTCACGGGGATCAAATCAACTTTACCTCGTTTTGTCTACTCACCAGGTATGTGGTTAGATTAAACATTCATAACTCTAGCTCTAGTTGTCGGAATTTGAATTCTGACATTCATGTTAACAGTGCTTAAATTCTCAGGAATCCCAGCCAAGGCTGTGATTTTCTTGGATCAATGGTATCCAAGGCTCCGATACGACAGTAGAATTACTGCCATGTGGGCATAACTACTGCCACATCTCTACAACTTAAGGATGATCCACTTGTAAACAATTTGCTTGAGTTAATGCACCCGATTCATTTGACCTGGATGGAATGAGGTAGAAACTGTCACAATCTGAGAGTGAGGGACTACAGTGCTTGTGATGGGTTTTGTGATCCAATGGTAACCGCAGAAGAAGAGGAGGCATCTTTGCAAGGTACCGGACCGGCTTATTCGACTCGGAATCTTCTCGTGCCACGAGTCCACAATTTGTGGACCCACTCGCCATTAGAAAAGAATTGATTTTCAATCTTCCAGACCTTAACGGCTAATTAAAACCAGGGCTTGATAGCAATTTATTACTTTTGACAACTTATTTCCGCTCCCATCCAATGGTTGAGGATGACGGAATAAGTGACATGGCAGCTTTTTAGTTTGGACTTCCAATACTATTTAAGTCTAATAATATGTCATGTCCCAATTAACCGGCTAATATAATACTCATGTTTAATGTCAATAATCTTCTATTTCCTCTAAATGATAAGAATCATGCTTCTACACAAGCATAGAACTAAATCAGGCTATGCACATTTGATAGCAATGTAAAGGCAACATCGCTGCAAGGATTTAGTCTACAAGCATTCCTTGCTGCTCGTTCCCCTTGCTCAATCTCACAAGAGTTGTCCAAGCAATCTTATTGGCTGCAAAGGGGCATGCTGTGGAGCAGCTCCTCGGCTTGCTCCAGCCGCTGTGCTTGTCCCAGCAAATCTATCAAACGGTGGAACTGCTTGATCACCAGCAAAATGCCATGAGCGCTAAATGTGGTATCGTGGACTGCCATGCTGTCAGCATATACCGTTGCAGGGCATCTGGACGAGCAAGAAGTATATTCAACCGTCAGCACGACCTTGTCTCGTGGACTGCCATGTTGGCAGCCTACGCTGGCATGGAACTTCTTTACTGAAAGAAATCTGGTCTCGTGGAAAGCTATTGTGCAAACATTTGCCCAAAATGGGCACTTTTAATAAGTCGGTGGAGCCGTGGGAGTCCATGCCAGACCTGCGCCCTTTCATGGACAATCATGATAGCCGCGTATGGGAATCAGGACTTGGTAGACGTAGCTAGGCGTGTTTTTGACAAAATGCCGTCCAAGGACGTTGCGGCCTGGACGTCCGTAATCACGGTTAATCACGCCATTCATCTGCTGGATCCGCTGGCTGGACACCAGTGGATTTGATGACCGCTTGAGCGGCATTGCCCGCGCTGGAAAGGAGAAAGCCCTAATACACGTGTCACAATGCCACGTGGCCGCGAGCGATCCGCGATACGTGTCCAGATTTGAAAGAAGATCCTTCCCACCCACCATGGTTCCCTGGAAGATCAATAGGCTTATAGAACTCAAGAAATCTCTCATTTCGGGGCTTCCAAACGATGTCGCTCGCCACTGCCTCGCCAAGGTCCCCAGGGTGTACCACCGCAGCATGCGATCGGTGTCAACGACTTGGAGGAAGACGGTCGAGAGTGAAGATTTCCTGGCGGTAAGAAGGAAGAATGGCATTTCCGGGCTCGTTGTGATCCTCATGGAAAATGGGCACAACTCCTACTGCATTTACAATCTTCCCTCCAAATCCAAAGCGCCTCTTCCAGATCCATTGCCCACGGGGCTAGAAATCGGCGGTGCCATTCGCCACATTCAAGACCGCGGCGGTGGGCACTCTCCTCGTCGCGCTGGAATCCAGGACGAGCTCTCGCCGCTCGACTGTGGAGAACCACACCCGGATCTTCGATTCCACCGAGAACAATTGGCAGCCGACTGTCGTGCGGTCGCAGTTCGCTATGGCGACAGTGAATGGGAGCTGCGACCACGACGGTGACTTTGTCGCCGTGACCGAGTCGTACGATGTCGCGACCGACACGCCGCGGTCGACCATGCCGTACAACCTCGCGGCGCTTCTCTTCGTCGCATTGCAAGGTGTTGGTCTATGATCCTGGCAGCGATTCCTGGCACCGCGATTCCTCCGGGATGAGCGCCATGGATCACGGAGAGCTCATCTCTACCTCCAGAGGGATTTACAGCTTGACCGCCTCGGACCGCCTCTACAAGTTCGTGGACGGGGAATGGGTTCTCGCCGGGAGCGCACACCATCCCTCTCCGGCTTTCAATGTCCACTCGCAGCGGGCATTTGGGCTCCGGGACGAGATCTTCGTTCTGCGCGGTGATGATCTGGGAAGCAGCTCTTGCGTGATTGGAATTTGCCACGGATTGTTCCTGTGGTTTAGAGCTGGCTCCGTGGTCATGGGATAGATCGATCCTGTTAGATGAGCTTGCGGCGAATTCGGGTGCTCCGCGAGCGGTTCCACACGGCAGCGGCATCGGTGATGAGTGACAATGCCAAGTTCTTGGAGACCGATGTGGACGGATGGAAGCGAAGGTATGGAGAACTCTCGCGAGCCGTGGATGCCGTGGTCGAGCAAGCAGGGGAGATTAGCATCAACACGACAGTTTCGAGAGCTTTCGTGTCTCTTCTCAAGTGGTGCGTACAAGAGAATAATCTAGCACAAGTTCGTCGTGTGCACGACTTCGTGTCCGCGAGGCATCCCGGCTGCGCCGAAGACCAGTTCGTGGGAAACATGATACTACAGGCTTATCGGAAGCTTGGGCAGCTTGATCTAGCGTGTGCGGTATTTGCCGGCATTTGCAACAGAGATCTTTTCTCGTGGACTATCATGATCGCAGCTTTTGCCCGGGATGGGCACTTCTCCGAGGCATTGTTGCTGTTTAGACGGATGGAGCTCGATGGAATAAAGCCATCCCCGGTGACTTGCGTGACAGTTCTTGCCTCCTTCACGGGGCCCAGGCTTCTCCCGCAAGCTAGAAAGTTTCACGCAAGGATCGAAGCTCTGGGCCTGGAATCAAACGTTATAGTCGGGACTGCGGTGATCACAATGTATGGGAAATGTGGAAGCCTGACAGATTCCAGGCTAGTTTTCGAGAGAATGCCGCAAAAGAACCTCGTCACCTGGACGACGCTGATATCGACCTATGCCCAGCACGGCCATGGAAAAGAAGCGATGGAGATTTTCGAGAGGCTGCTCGCTCATGGAGGATTGGAACCCGACGCGGTTGCTTGCGTGAGCGCTCTCGACGCTTGCTCGAGCCTGGCATCGCTAGAGCAGGGCAGGAAAGTTCACAGGATCGTCGTCTCGAGGGGATTCGAGAGCAACACAGTCGTGGCAAACGCTCTCGTGTTCATGTATGGGAAATGCGGGGCTGTGGAAGAATCGAGAGCAGCGTTTGACACGATCCAACACAAGAATCGCAACTCATGGAACTGCATGCTCACGGTTTACACCCAAGGAGGCCACTTCCGCGAGGCGATGGAGCTCTTCAAAAGGATCGACGTAGAGCCGGACCACGTCACTTTTCTCTGCCTTGTTCTTGCTTGCTCTGGTGCGAAAGACCTTGCCGAAGGAATTGCCACTCACAGACTGATCGAAGAGAGCGAGGTTGCTTCGAACGAGGCCCTGTGCCACTCGCTCATGAACATGTACTCCAAGCTTGGGAGGCTAGAGAGCGTTAGGGAAATCTTCGAAAAGATGGCGAGCAAGAACGTGATCTCCTGGACGTCCCTCGTCTCGGCCCACGCCCAAGCCGGGGATCTGGAGATGACGCTGTCGCTCTTCGCGGGAATGCAGCTCGATGGCGTCGCTCCAGACAGCATCGCGTTTGTGAGCGTCTTGTCTTCGTGCAGTCACGGAGGATTGCTCGAGAGCTTCCCAGTGCTCTTGCGGTGCATGGTGGAGGACTGCGAGATCCTTCCACGCGTGGAGCACTACGGCTGCGTTGTGGACGCTCTGGGACGGTGCGGGAAGCTTGACGAGGCGGAGAGGTTTGTGGAGGAGTTGCCGGTGAGAGTGGCAGTGCTGTGGATTGCGCTGCTAGCGGCGTGTTCCACTCACAAGGATGTGAGGCGCGCAAGGCGGGTCGCGGAGCGGGCATTTGCGCTGGAGCCTCGGCATTGGTCGACGTATGTGATGTTCGCAAACATCCTGGGCGAGGCCGGTGAGCGGGATGAAAGCGCCGCGATCAAACAGAGAATGGAGGAGTTGAAAGCTCGATCACAAGAAAAAGGAGCACATATTTCGTAATTCACATGATCTTGGCGCTCGTGAGATGGTGCGGAAGAGCCTCATTCGTTTGAAAACAAGTGACCTTCTTCCCAGAGAGATCAGCAAGACCAATTGATGGATAGTTGAGGTGGGTTGCTTGAACCATCTCCAAGACCATTTGATTACGGAGGTGGACATGTTAATCCCAATGCTGCAGCTCATTCAGGATCTAACATGTCAAACTACGTTGGACTTGTGTCTGGGCTAGTTTCTGGACGGAAAGCTGTGCTCAAAGCATATCAGTCGCTCTGCCATGACGGCTTCCATTTTGACAACAAGAGCCTGTAAACTATTTGATCCAAGAATGCAAGATTTCATAGTCAGTTGTAACCAAGGAAGATTTGATAGCTGCAAGACTCCTCTCAAGATGGTATGCTTTCAACAATGCAAGCTTTGGAACCTATGGAATGCTGCAGCTGTAATAAATGGGAACCACATCAGGTTATATAAGGATTCCTAATTGTAGCAAATCCTTACCTAAGGATTTGTGAGATGAGTAGCCTATCTTGGTGGTTTTTGTCTTTAAAGTCGAGCTGAACTATGCCTTTTGTCACTATGTGTGTGATTTGTAAAAAATGTAATAAATTTCCATGCATACATGCTAAAAGTGAATTTTCTCTTGCCAAAGAATATTCTAGAGTATTTTTACATTTCTGCGCACCACTATTCTGATGGTATATGATACTTGTATATAATGAACTAATTGATGGGCCATACAAGTTGCCATGCCATCATACTACCACTAGTTATAGATAATGTTTTCTCTATCAAAACTTGGTAAGAATGCTTTTCACATTGATATAATTGTATTTGTTATGTCCTCCATTATTGTGGGTTATTAGTTAACTTGTCTTTGTGGTAGATACCAAGCTGCAAGAAACTCATTGATAGGAAATTGTAGAAAACTATTATATAAGGTCTTCTCATGGCAATGTTTATTTCAATCCTCCTTCAAGCAATGAAGGTGGCACCAATAGACATGCCATAGCAATTCTAGGTAACCTAGAATTGCTATGGTGGTTTGATTTTATGCAAGAGATGGAAACTAAAAGTTTTTATACTTTTACCATCTAAGATCTTCTCCAAGTTAGATAATGAACTTGCTACTATGATTTTATTTTATTGCATGCTACATAGTTCTAGTATAGCATAGTATTCAGAAGTAAGTCATTTAAATCTTTTAGAAGATTGGCGAAACTCTACAAAAGCAAGGTTATAGAAAGATTTATGAGCCTTTATTCTTTAGCAAATGGACTTATGTATGTATAACATTACTAAACATGGCTTTGCTTGGGACATTGAAAAATGTGAAAGAGACCTCTATTCATAGAAGATGGAGTAAGAAAGATTGAATAGTTTGAATTTAAAATAGACTATTGCAAACTTGGGTATAGGGTTTGTGTTGTTTGTGCTAGATAATGGGCCAAAATAATTCATTGTATGCAATGCAATGCAGCAGGTGAATTGGTCTATTTCAAGATTGGCAGATCATGCATGAGCAGGTAAGTTATTATACCATTTTTGAGGTACAATTTGTCTCTACCTATTTCTGTTGCTTGCCTTGGCTAGGTTCAAGGCTTCCCTGTTGGTGAAGCTTGCTGGAAAGGGTTTTGAAATGAATATGATGCCCAAATGTGGATGGAACAAAGATTAAGGCTTATGGTTTGGAAGATATGCCCCCTCGACAACCCATCTACATAGGAACCAATATTATCCTGTCCTCGATGTGAAAGTGACCAAAAGATTGGCATAAGCTTTGCTGCTTTGATGGAAGTTAGAATGAGCAGCAATGCTAGCTCAAAGCTCAGAATTCAGCAAGTTAGAGTTGGAATATGGACTGGGCAATGCTTGTGCTAGTGGTGAGTTCTTCCTTTGATGGTCTTTCAAAGATCCAACTTCTACTGGCAAAGACTCTGTTGCAGTGTCTTTGGCGATGCTGAAGTTGGTGGAAGCTTTATCATACAAGAGATTTTAATAGCTTACTTTAAAGATCTCTTTGATCTATTACTTTTGGTTATCACTAAAATGTGTGTCAAATTGCAAGCACTTCATGAATTTGTTGAGGTCAAATCATGGTCTGGGCATGAAACACCTACAATAGTGCATCAATTCTAATACATTGCAGCACTTCCAGCAAAACTCCACTCTTATGCAAATACTGTCTTACTCCATTATCATAGAATGGGCAAAGCTTGCTCATAGCCACTCCCCGCTGAGTGTGGCTCATTAAAAAGCACTCACCATACCACAATTGTGATAATGGTCTAGACTGCCTTTGGATAATAGTCCTTGCCAATGTTGAGGAGTCGTGGTTCCAGCAGAGCATTGTTATTTTCTAGTGTGTACTCAATTGTCTTGTCTCGCTCCATTGAATCTGTAATGTTACTTACCCTCCTCAAGACATCCAATCTATTTCAAAGGTTGATACTTGAAAGTCCACTAAGTCTTTGATCATCTGGACTCGGAACCTTGCCAACTACTAAAATTGAAATTGCGCATGCTTTGGAGACTTGTGCCTTGCACTCGAACACAAGAAACAGTAGCCACCCGATGAACATGGCTTGGAGGAAAATAAACATCATTAGATATTCATGCAAATGAGTGGAATATTTATTTACCATATCCTTATCTCTTTGCTGGAGGTTTTATAGCTATGACAACTTCCTTGGATGCCAATAAGAACCACCATCACCAACTATGAATAATCCCTTAGATTGTGAAATATATTGGCAAATGTGATAAGTATCATAATGCATTGACTTATATTTTGTGGGTTTATTAGATGGCTTGCATAATTGGCTTTGCCCAGGGCCACTGTGATGGGAAAAGTTTTAGCCAAAAATGCCATACTCAAAGTCAAGGTATGCATATATATAAAGTATGTACATACAAAACCATCCCCTCTATTCTACAACCACCTTTTCTTTATGACCTAATATTTGAAGTCAAAGTAAAAAAAAGTCAAACCAAATCCTTTTATAACTACTCTCTCCTTTTTATATCTTATATTTATCTTATTACCCATCTACCTTACTCTATCACAAACTTTATCTTCCACCATCTTTATAAAATTATTTGTTATATAACTTTTATATCCCTCCAACCTTAATATTTCTGCCACCATTTAAAAATAATTTCTTGTGTAATCTATGCATTCAATTTAAATCTACCATCTTTAATACACCAATATTTTATAATATCAACAACAATACATAAAATATGATCTAAGGACTATATAAGAAGGAACCCTATACAACACAAGACATTAGAGCATAGAGTGTGAAGTGATTCTAACATAAATTTTCTCTTTTAGTTTTGCAATATTTTTTCTTTAAGTTTTACTTGAAAAATATAAAAATTAGAAGCTCGTGGAAATTCCTCTCATTTTTCTTTCTCTCAAGGCACAAAGCATGCAGAGATGGTGCACTATTAACCACCAACTTCAAACACAATGACTTCATGATAATGTAGAAAGAGGTTAAAGAATTAATGGGTTGGTTACTGGGTTAGTTAGGTTAATGGGTTAGTTAAGAATTATGGGATAATACTTAGTTGTAATTGGCAATGTGGCAAGTGAACTTTGACAGAACATTCAACTTGAAGAAAAAAGTAGCTAGCATTAGAGTCGTTATCACTTATATAAAAAGCAATAAAACACACATTGAAGAAGTTGTTGCATTTGCAATCAAGTTAAGTATGTTGTTTTGATTAGAGGATTGAAAGAAGCAAAAGTATTGAGAGCTAAAGACATAGTTGCTATAAGAGATTCTAAATTGATTGTGAATCAAATGAATGGAAGTTGAAATGTCAAGAATCAAAGTTTAACACTTCTATCAAAAGATTATAAGCCATAAATTTTCCCTTTCCCATTTGCGAGCTTACCTCATCTAACTGACTACCATAGCTTTGGCTTTAGTTAAGTTCCCTCGCTAAAGTTCCAACCTATTATACCAATTTCTACTTGGTCTTATTGTAAGCCACAAATTTTTCCTTTCCAATTTGCCAGCTTACCTCGTCTATCCGACCAACTCTGCCTTGGCTTGTGCTAAGTTCCCTCGCTAAGGTTCTCGCCTATGGTACCAGCTCTTACTTGGTCCTACTTGGTTTCAGCTACTCACTACACGAGCAATGGAGTGTTAGCCATCCATTTACGGATTCCCCAAATCTCTCCCAATCCCCCTCCCCGGGTTAGACTGGACTTAAGGTTCGGCTACACTCCCCGTAGGCACAAGCAGCCAAGCACACTAAGCCTCCAGATTCCTAACACCCCTTGGTACCACAAGACTTGATCATGGGACCCTCTAAATCCCAAGCCTTGGGTGCAGCACTTGCTTCGGGACGTCGGGGCGAAACACCGTGGCCTAACGGCCCGGTATGGGTACCTCTACCCCCCCACTCCCATCCCGAAAGGAAGGCCCAAGCCCCTAGGAAGGGCGAGGACCAATGAGCCACAAGGTACTCAAGTGGGGCACCACTCCACATGAGCTGGGAGCACCGCAATCGGTTTCCCTTTCGGGAGTGGGAGCTGCTCTTGAGCACTTCCCTGGGTGGCCCCTCTGGCACCACTCAAGCCCATGCTCACTCCCACCCAAGGCCCCTCGGCCCCAGTCTCAACCTCAAGTCAGTTTGGAAGCACCACTGGAGAGTTCCTTCAAGACTGGTTCCTGGACCTCACTATCCCTACTATACTTTTGGAACCCCTTGCAGCCCCCCCCCCCCCGGGAGACACACGCTTTGGGCTTTCACCCCTTGAGCTGTATTAGTATGTGGACTTAATCTCAGAATCGATCTCGGACTCGATCTCGGACCCGACTTCGGATTCGGTCTCGGACTTGATCTCGGACTCGATCTCGGACCCGATCTTGGACTCGACTTCAGACTCGACCTCAGACTCGGTCTCGGACCCGATTTGGATCTCGGACTCCATCTCGAACTCAGTCTCGAACTCGGTCTCGATCTCGGTCTCCGATTCGGCCTCG